AGACCAGCAACTACTCATATGCAAGTTCAAATGAAAACTAACAAAGGTTAAATCATATCCACAGGAATAAAAATTTGATCGAGTCTGTCCCTCTGAATTTAAAAATCAACTCAGGAACAGATTTGAGGCCTTGAACACTAATGAACAAAGACCAGATGAGCTGTGGGAAGATAACAAGAATATCATCCATTAAGATTGCAAACTGTCATTAGGAAGAAGACAAAAATGGATGTCAGAAGAGACTCTGAATATTGCATTAGAGTACCAAGAAGCGAAAGCAAAGGGAAGAAATTAAGGAGCTGAATAGAAGATTTCAAAGGGCAGCTTGGAAGACAAGGCAAAGTATTATAATGAAATGTGTGAGGAGCTGGAGTCTGAAAATCCAAAGGGCCGAACTTGCCCGGCATATCTTAAGCTGAAAGAATTAAATAACAAAGTTATGATTTGTAATCCTTAAGGATGCTATGGAAAGAATACTGAATAATTCAAGAAACATTAAAAGAAAATGGAAGAAATATACACAGAGTCACTTTACCAAAAAAGAATTGACACAGAATTTCATGAAACAACATATGGTCAAGAGGCAAAGGTGAGGAAGTTACAGGCTGCTCTGAAGGACTTGGCAAAAATTAAGCCCTAGGAATTGATGGAGTACCAATTGACATATTTCAGCGAACTGATGTTGCCCTGGATTTGTTCACCAGGTTGTGCCAAGAAATCTGGATGACTACCACCTGGCTAACTGGCTGGAAGAGGTATTTATTTTCATTCAAAAAAAAGGTGACCCAACAGAGTGTGAAAAGGCCTGCAAAAGCCTGGAAGACTCCACTCACTCTGGGAGTGTGGCTTTTTGCTGCTTGTGGATGCTGGTCTTGATGGGCAAGTATAGGGAAATTTTTGGAGTCATGTGGCTTTTTGTTTTGTGTGGGATTTTTGGGGTTTTTTGGTCCTGTTTGATGTAGATTACTGCTCTTTTTCAACAGTGGGTGTACTTAAGCCTTTGCCTAGGGTCTAAATCTGCTCAAAGGTGTTGATTTAAAATATTCCTTGAATGACAACATCTTTTGTCTATTTGTTGAACTGAACAACTTGGTATTGCTGTGACTCTGCACACTGCTCTATAGTCTTGTCAAATACCATAATGGTTACCCATTATGTACAATGTTTGGATGAGCTTCCAGATTGAGTTATGCTGGGAAGCAGGAGTGGCAGCCACTTCCTAAACTAGATGCCTCTGGAAAATCTATAAACTCTAAATGTACAGAAATGATGTTAGACATAGAACAGAGGTTAGGTCTTTTGTGCAAAACTTATTCTCAGTTGTATTCAACTTGAAGACACTTAACCACTGCTAGTGAAACTAGTGCTGTTATATCTTGAGGAACAATCTTCCACTTTGTACATCACTTTGTCAATATGCAGTATGAAGTAACCTGGTTTGCGATGATGCGGAACCTTGTACCATTGGGGTATCAAATACCAGAATGATTTTCCAATGTGGACAGTGTTTGGTGGAGCTCCCAGTTGTAAAACAGGTTTGGAAGCAGGAGTGGCATCCACTTCCTAAACCACATGCCTCTGGAAACTCTATGAACTTGGTGAAATGACAGTTATGGAAAGGTATTAGGTCTTTTGTTCATAGAGTTGCTATGAGTCACACTCGACTTGAAAGCAATCAACAACATCATCACTAATTTAACAAACTAGCATATCCTACTTAAGATTATCCAGAAATGACTGGAACGGTACATTGACTACCAGAAATACAACCTGGATTTAGAAAAAGTCATGGTACTAGATATTATTTCCAACGTCAGATGTATCTTGGCAGAAAGCAAAGAGTATCAGAAATATGTCTGTGTTCCATTGAATATGCAAAGACATTTGACTGTGTGACTGTGTGGATCACAACAAATTGTGGCTAACTTTGAGGAAAATGGGAATTCCAGAGCATTTGATTGTGCTTATGCAAAACCTATACTTGGACCAGGAAGCAGTCTTCAGAACAGAGCAGGGAAACACTGAATGGTTCAAAATCTGCAATGAGTGCATCAGGGATGCATCTTGTCTCCATACCTTTTCTTTTTCTCCAATTGCTTTTTTTTTTTTAATTGGGATGGGTGTGTCAGAGACAATGCGATTGGCACAGGATAGAGCAGGGTTTAGGGCTGTTGTACATAGGGTCGCTATGAGTCACAAACGACTCAACAGCAGATAACAACAACAGCAACAATACTGATTTATTTACAAAGTTTGAATACATTGTTTTTCACACAGTATTTTCCTCATTTCCCTCACCCATCCTCATCCCTTTGCTTCCAACCCTCCCCCCCCTTTGGATCCTTATACTCATTCTACAATAATGGTTTTATACAGCATTTGTCCTTATGAGACTGAGTTAGTTCACTCAGCCTAATGCTCTCCAGTCCCTCTCAAGTTATGTAGTAATTTACAAAATCATTGTTCTTGCATGTTGTGTAATACCTTTTCAATGAAGAGGAATGAAGCATAAGGATTGGAGGAAGACTCATTAACAACCTAAGTTATGCAGATGACACAACTTTGCTTGCTGAAACGGAAGAGGAACTGAAGCACTTGCTGCAGAAGGTCAAGGACTATAGTCTTCAATATGCATTGAAGTTCAACATCAAGAAAACAGATTCTCACCACTGGGCCAACTGGTAGCACCATGACTGATGGAGAAGAGACTGAGGTTGTTAACAATTACAGCTTGCTTAGCTCCACAATCAACACTCTTAGTACCAGCAGTCAGGAAATCAAGACAAATTGCACCAGGAAAATCTGCTGTCTGGGACCTCTCCAGAGAACTGAAAAGCAACGATGTCAGTCTAGAGACTAAAGTATGCTTAATCCAGACCCTGGTCTTTGCAGTTACTTGCTATGCATCACAGAGCTGGATAATGAGTAAGGATGACAGAAGAATCTATGCCTTTGAATTGTGGTGCTGGAGAAGAGTCTTGAACATACCCTGGATCACCAAGAAAACAAATAGGTCTGTCTTAGAGAGGGTAAAACGAAGTTTCTCCTTGGAGGCTAGTACTTTGAAGCTCCTTCTCACATACTTTGGGTATGTGGCCAGGTGAGACCAGTCCTTGGACAAGGATGTCATCCTCAGAAAGGGTGGAGGGACAGCACAAGAGAGGAAGACCTTGGATGAGATGGGTTGATACAGTAACTGAGGCACTGGGAGTTGTGTCGGAATTAGAGAGACTGGCTTAGGACAGGGAAGGGTTCAGAGCTGCTGTACATAGGATCAATATGGGTCGCAGGCAACCAAACAGCACATTACAACAATAACATTATATACATAAAAATAACATAGTATACATAACAATGAGGACAAAACAAAGCTCCAACTCAGAAATGCTTTGCTATTCACTTCTCCCTACTTCCTAACATCACATATAAGTATAAACAATTGTTAACGCCTCCTAAAATCCGACCCCATGAGAGAGAGTAATTTCAGAGAAGACATTAGACCTTGAGATCATTAACAAAGTTAATGTGTATAGGTGTATCAAGTAAAACTTATTATATCTACAAGTCATATATAACAAAAAGAGGCCATTTTTCGGATTCTTTTTCTATCCTCTTTTAGACCAAATCCTGAAGAGTAGCACTACTAAAATAGGATAATTCCATAAATAAAACAAGAGTTATCATTTAAACCATTTTCAAATTTCAGACAGTGAGATTTAGTGCATGTATTAGAATCCATTTAAATAATCTCTGCTCAATTCACATGAAAACTGTATTCTCAATGGCTGATAGAACAGACAAAAATAATTTACAGAGAAGCAGTTATAAGTGAAATCATTTAATACAAAAGAAATTGTTAAAAACAAAATCCATACAATAGTAGAGGAAATGTACTGAATTTAAAACTTTTGAAATAGGCACTTTGGACCATTATATAAAATAAAGACAAAGTATATAACTGGAAACAAAAGCTTATGCAGAACAAAACCAAAGGTTGGAAAAATAAAGTAACAAATGTTTAAAATCATTTAGAACCAAAGGAGACATAACTGAACTATACAATTTGGACACAGGTTTAAGTGCATGTTCTCCATATAATCAACTGACTATTGTATAAAAATTGGAGATTAATTAAAACACAATTAAATAAACATTTGCAGGCCTTTGACCATTACATAAATGTTAAGAAGTTAAAAATGAATTGTCAGTTGAAAAAGAAAAGCTTACAACAAAGCACAGATGGCTACAGAAGCATACGGAGAGTAATAGTTTGGGAACAAGTGTAACAAACAAGTCTTTAGATACTTTATCAGAAACATTCCATAAATAAGCTCTTATTTTCACTTCAAAAAATACAGCTGATTTCCATAATTGCTCCTATTAGTTGACCAGAAAAATATATATTAAGGATGCATTTATATGAATCATTTTAAGGGAAAAAATCAACTGATCTTTTGAAAATATGAGTCCACCTATTACATTCACAACTTCAAAAATACAGAAATTAAAGGTAATTCCAGTGGGACCAAATATACTGTTAACATGTTAACACAACATCAACTATTTCATGTAACCAACACAGAGTAACACATTTAATGACAAAAACAAAATCCAGAGTTTCACAATTCTATACAAAGAAGCCTCATCAAACATTCTTTCAAAAACAAACACAATACCACACAATAAAACAACCAAAGTTCTGGCAAACCTACACAAATTGAGGGAGTTCATCCTGAAGGTCTTCAAACTGCTGCATTCGTTTTAGCCTGGGTCTCTGACATGCTGGGTTCCCATCTGGCTGGCCCTGCTCCTTGG